GATAGCGGTAAGGAAGGGACGTCACACATACCATTCGGCCTCATAGACTGGCAGAAGTAACCTAGCATAGGGCGATAAGAGCGCAGAACGATTTTGTCATGTACTGCAATGGAGAATAGCAGGTAATGCGCGAGTGGGCAGTCACGGGATGTCAAGTGATCTCTCTCTCAGTCACTCCCCCGTCCTGTCCCAGTCTGAAACTGCAGCATGTCGCATTCTTGGGATATGGAAACGCATTTTTTCTTTCTTCAAACGCATCAAGCACCGCCGACTTCTTCTATGACTTTCTTGAGGTTATGGAGGTCGTGTGCGAAACGACCCAAGAACAAGCCGTCTACACCGTCGGCAATCTTTGCAAAAGTTCCTGGGCCGGCACTACCGCCATAGACGATTCTTGTTAGACCTTTGCGGCCCGCAGCCAGCGACCTCAGCGCTTTTGTCACCATGACTACGTGGTCAGGGTCTGCAGGCTCTTTTGCTCCTATGGCCCACACTGGCTCATACGCCAGAATAACCTCGGTTTCGTCGGGCACGGCAGCCAGGACTGACTTGACCTGGGGGGTGCATTCGTCTATAGCAGCTCCGACGGCAGCTGAAGCGACACCATGATGCGTCTTCTCGCCGATGCACACGAGTGGAATAAGGCCGTTTCTCGCAGCAGCCCCTGCCTTTTTCGCAACCGTCTCGTCGTTTTCGCCAAAGTGGGCTCTCCGTTCGGCATGGCCAATCTCCACAATTCTCGCACCGGCCTGTCTCAAGACAAGCGGACTGACTTCTCCTGTGTAGGCGCCCTTGTCTTCCCAAAAAGTGTCTTGAGCGCCGAGGATGATGGACGACGACTCGAGTATGCGGGCTGATTCGGTCAAAGAGACAAAGTCGGGGATGACGAAAAGATCGGTGCGGGCATTCCATGCATCGCCGTCGAGTTGCAAGACACCGCGGATGTAGGAGAGGGTGCTGGGCAGATCGAAGTACATTTTCAGCGAGACACCGACAATGCGGCGGGGCCGAGCAATGGGAGGCATGACGGTAGTGGGTATGCGGGTGTCTAGGGAGATGGAGATGGAGATGGAGGGGGAGAGGGAGATGTCAGGAGGGGTGGACGAGCAGCCAAGGATGAAAAGGCTGGGTTGTCATTATACTGCGGGTGGACAAGACGGCATCCTACATATGTACAGAGGGTATACATACACGGTAGCAGTCCTACATATGTAGTAGTGTAGACTTGATTGCGCAACAATGATGGTGCTCCGGTGTTACCGCATTAGGAAAACCCGGGGGAGGGCAGTCATGGCATCGTGGGTGGAAGATGTGGGACGGCGGGCGGTTTCTCAGCTGGAGTGTGGGGCAACAGCACTGCCGACATCCCCAGACAGCACTACCACCACATGGATGCCACATCTCGTCCGTATACATATAAATACACTCTGCTATGCACATACACATACGCTTGCGCTCGGTCTCCGTCCTGCGCTGCTGTCTCATCGGCCATGGCGGGCTCTTCACCGCATCGCACGCGGCGTGAGGTATTATGTGGCCGAAGATGGGCCTCGCTTGCCAGCGCTCCGATGTCACCTCCGGACTCACTACACGCCCTTGCGCTAACCTTGTTCCAATCACCTGCGAGCTAGAGAAAACTGCACATCACCGCCTCGTTGACACGTTGTAGTCCTGACCTGAACCACTGACGGACAGATTGACACCGACTACCGCCTGACACACTGCCATTCCAACCAGCTGACGTACATGTCGCGGACACTCGCTGATCGCTGGGCCCGCAAACGATACTTTGGATAAGCTCCGTCGGAGTTTCGACACCGACCGAACCCATACATCCTTGTACCCGCCGCAGTGAGCCCATCGCGGGGTGCATCCTGTTCCTATTGTGTACCCACGGAGCCTCTCTGCTCGACATCGACTCGCACTTTGCTCTTCTTCTCTCTTTCTTTTTTTCTTCCTTCAGTCCATCCGTCCTTCTTTCCTCTAACCCTTGCCCACCATGCACATCTCACAGAAACTCGCTCAGGCGAAGCGAGAAGGGAAGCCGACCTTCTCCTTTGAGTTCTTTCCTCCAAAGACCGCACAGGTATTCTATATTCCCAGGGTCCTCAAAAAGCAACTGTGCTGACTTAGCCTCCAAGGGTGTCCAAAACCTCTATGACCGCATGGACCGCATGCACAGCTTCGGCCCCCAGTTCATCGACCTTACCTGGGGCGCCGGCGGCCGCCACTCCAAATTGACCTGCGAAATGGTCAAGGTTGCACAGTCCGTCTACGGTCTCGAGACCTGCATGCACCTTACCTGCACCGACATGGAAAAGTCCAAGCTCGATGAGGCCCTCCGAGAAGCATACCAGGCCGGCTGCACGAACATTCTAGCCTTGAGAGGCGACCCGCCCCGTGAACGAGAAAAGTGGGAGGCAACGGCTGGCGGGTTCCGTTACGCAAAGGACTTGGTTGTCTATATCAAGGAAAAGTACGGAAACCACTTCGATATTGGTGTTGCAGGATACTCGGAAGGCAGCGATGACAACGACGATGTCGATGAGCTCATTGACCACTTGAAGGAAAAGGTCGACGCCGGAGGCTCCTTTATTGTAACGCAAATGTTCTACGACACAGACCTCTTCCTCGAGTGGGTACGAAAAGTCCGCGCCAAGGGCATCGACGTTCCTATTATTCCCGGCATCATGCCCATCCACACCCACGCCGCCTTTCTACGAAGAGCCCAATGGACAAAATGCCACATTCCCGATGATTGGACAAAGGCTCTGGAACCCGTCAAGAACGACGATGTTGAAGTCCGTGAAGTTGGCAAGACATTGGTGGCCGATATGTGCCGGAGGCTGATTGACGCCGGCATTACCCATCTGCACTTGTATGTCTTACTGTTATTATGGCCATATCTACTACTTGTACTGACTCACTCCAGCTACACAATGAACCTTGCTCAAGCCACACGCATGGTTCTCGAGGAGCTTGAACTTTTGCCAGATGTGGAATCCCCACTTGAGAAGCCTCTGCCATGGCGACCCTCCTTGGCCCTCAACCGACGCGAGGAGAATGTACGACCCATATTCTGGCGCAATCGACAAAGGTCCTATGTTGCACGCACCCAAGACTGGGACGAGTTTCCTAACGGTCGTTGGGGAGATTCTCGATCACCTGCTTTCGGCGAGTTGGATTCATATGGTATCGGTCTCAAGGGCACTAACGAGCAAAACATCAAGCTATGGGGCACGCCATTGACCATCAGGGATTTCTCCAATCTTTTTGTACGCTATATGGAGGGCAAACTGGAGTCGTTGCCATGGAGTGAACAGCCCATTACTGCGGAGGCCTCATCTATTCGTGACGATCTCATCGACTTGAACAGACGTGGTTTCCTTACCATCAACTCTCAGCCTGCCGTCAATGGTGTCAAATCGTCTGATCCCGTCTTTGGTTGGGGTCCACGCAACGGTTATGTTTACCAAAAGTCCTACCTCGAGGTCTTTGTCTCACCCGAGCACATCGCCGAGATCATTACCCGTCTCGAGCGCGACCCAGAATTCACCTACTATGCTGTGAACAAGAACGGCGACTTGAAGACGAATGCCCCCAACGAAGGGCCCAACGCTGTCACGTGGGGTGTCTTCCCAGGCAAGGAGATTGTACAGCCAACAATTGTCGAAACAGTCAGCTTTCTAGCTTGGAAGGACGAGTTTTACCGACTCGGCCAGCAGTGGGCAAACTGCCATGCAGGTATCAGCCCGTCACGCTACGTCATCCAGGACGTCATAGACACCTGGTACCTTCTCAACATTGGTAAGTTCCAAGTCCACTTGAATTGATCGAACTCTTTACTAACTTGTATACCAGTGCACAATGACTTCCATGCTACCCGTGGCATCTTCCCAATCTTCAATGGTCTGGAGGTCAAGGACATGGACAAGCCGCTGCACACACCATCTGCCGATCTTCCTAATGCAAATGGCAGTGAGAACGTAAATGAAGCTAACGGCGTCAATGGAACCAGTGGTACCCACAAGGAAGAGAGCCCTAGCCTCATAGATGTCGCCAAAGCAGCAGCGATCGAGGTCACCAACGGCATGAAGAGCCTGGCTGTCTCTAACTAATACGATACAGCAAAATTATGTCTAATATTCTTACTGCATTCAACCCAGCAAGACTAATTATCATTCTCGGCGTTTCCTGGGAAATACTTCGGCCGAATTATCTGTGTTCAACAACACATGGCGGCCTTTTGTTCTGGACAGTTCTACTGCGCTTCAACAAGCGTAATTAGGAGGTTTCTTTTATCGCAGCCTAGGATCTATTATGTTTGTTCTTCTTTTTTCTTGTTAAAATAAATGCCGTGTTCGCCATATACATACACACACAAGCATTTGGAAGGCGTCTCTTCAACCCGACGACCATCATGAAAGAACAAGGTGCAGGAATCTTGTAAAAAAAGTTCAAAAGCATAGCGCAGGATACAAAAGACGGAGAAATGGCTTTCTGAGATACCCGACTTCGCTTCCCTCAACGGCAGCGGTCAACCTTTTCACTTCGCTCTTTCAACTGCCATTTTTATAGTAGACATATATAAATATAAACGGTGTGCAGGTGGTATAGATATCACGATGCATATTGGTTTTGCGGTGCCCTGACAGGCTAAGCATGCAGCTATGGAGTTCTTTGTATTGATAACTGCACAGTGATTCAGCGATGTGATACTATATATTCCAAGGGAAGAAGAAGAAGAAGAAGAAGAATTTCCATATCCTCTATTCAAGTTAACAGGCCAAACATCACTCTTCTATGTTCCAATCGTAGTGCAAGAAAACGTCTTTCATTCTCAATAAGGAGCGTGTATTTAAGTTGCCAAAAAGGTGTGATACAAGAAGAGAAATATATATGTCAAAAAAGGTCTCCCGTGTCATCTAGACACTCAATCTTTCACTCATCCGTCAGATAAAGTCCATATGCCCCACGGATAATCATTTAGCCCAAGCCATTTAGTAGTCGCCCTTGGACTCGCCATCGCCTTTTCCGGCACCCTCGCCCTTGCCCTTGCCCAAGAGACCGCTGAGCCAGTCGAAAAAGCCACCGGCGCCAGGCTTACCGTCCTCACTGTCGCCTCCAGGACCGCTGGGAGCGCCGGAGTAGGGAGCTTCACCGCCTGATCCACCTGGTCCGCTTGATCCACCTGGGCCGCCGGGGAAACCACCGGTGGGCATGGGAAAGGAGGGAAGACCGCCAGTGGGCATGGGAAAGGGAGGGCGAGCGCCGCTGGGCATGGGGAAGGGGGGAGTTCCTGCACCGGGGGCACCCGCACCTGGAGCGCCTTCGGTGGGAGTACCATATTCAGGAGCACCGGATTCAGGAGAGCCAGACTCAGGAGAGCCAGACTCAGGAGAGCCAGACTCAGGAGCGCCATCGGTGGGAGCACCGGCATCAGGAGCACCAGATTCTGGGGCACCTTCAGTAGGAGCACCGGCACCGGGAGCACCGGCCTCAGGAGTACCACCCGTAGGAGCACCGTCGGCAGGAGCACCATCAGTTGGGGAACCTCCAGCAGGCTCGTCGCCATATGGAGAGCCACCTTCAGCAGGAGAGCCGGTAGCTGGTGCAGCACCAGCGTCCTTGGAAAAGAGTTGAAATTCTGGCAGAGCAGGAGTAGCGGCCTCTCCTCTCTTGTGTAGGGTGGGAGCAAGGCCGTAGTTGACTGCGAGCCTCTTTACGGTTGGGGGCTTGCCTCCTTGGAAGCCAGGGAAACCCCCACCGTTCTGACCACCGTTCTGACCACCGTTCTGGCCACCGTTCTGGCCACCGTTCTGGCCTCCGTTCTGGCCTCCGTTCTGGCCTCCGTGTTGGCCTCCATGTTGACCTCCAGGGAAACCGGGGAAACCTCCACCGTTCTGACCACCGTTCTGACCACCGTTATGACCACCGTTCTGACCTCCGTGTTGGCCTCCGTGTTGGCCTCCGTGTTGACCACCGGGCTGACCTCCAGGGAATCCAGGGAAACCTCCAGTGGGCATAGGGAAAGAAGGTACACCAGTTCCAGTAGGAGCTGGGAAACCAGCACCTGGGAAGTTGGGCATGTTCTCTGGTTGAGGAGCCTGAGCCTCACGGGCCTCCTTAGCACCAAACATGGAGTTCATGGCACCGCCAAAGGGCACTTGGGAATGTTAGTCAATGCTCAAGGCAAAACTGATGAAAAGGGCACTTTACGAGCAAGGGAAGATCCCGAAAGGGCGAGAATGACAGCAGACCTCATGATTGCGGTAGTCGGTTAGGTGAGCTGTGTAGAAACGTTGAGAAGTGATTGAGTGACGAGAGTGAAGGGTAACAGGGACAAAGTGGCACAGCCGAAGTGAATGTACGAATATCGCTAGGATATCGAGAGAATGGATAACAAAGAAGGAAGAGAGAAAGGTGTAAAGAAAACCTTCTCAAAGAGAATGTGTGTGACTGGCAACTGTTGACTTGTTGGTGGCCTTCAAACTATGAGGCCAACTTCCAAGATATATATACTTGATAGCTATGACGTGCACCGAGAAACGATCGACATACTATTCATCTAAAGGTCCTGGAAACAAAGTGAGCCGTACAATGCCTGTTGTTTGGCCTATGGCGTTTGTCATGAAACCTCGACCGTCATCTGTAAGATGTTGACGAGATCAATCTAGACATTGGGTAGGCGCGGCTCAGCAACTAGGGTGCCTCATGCGGACTCGCTGGGAGCCCAGCCTTGCCAACTGATTCGGACAGAATGTTTGTTTGATGCAACCGCTGATCACACCGGGGGTTTCAGGTCGTGTGCCAATGAGACGCGGCTGTCAGTCGAAAGATGAAGCGGCATTTGGAACATCGGCGGCCCTTGCTCAGGACGCATAGGGCACAGGGGACTTTCCCCGGCCACAGATAGATTGTCGGTAGGTGCTTGGGGTTGCTAAGAAAAGTGACATGCTTGTTTACGAGATGCGGGAAGCCCGATCGCGCATGAAGGACGTCGGTGGGCCTGTTTCATGCGTACGCGTATATTCCTTGCCAAGACCAACCCGCAACGAAGCTCATTGGCGCAACCACTCAACCACCATGTACCTTCTGTGACAAACGCCTTCTTGGATTCTCCATCGAACCATTCTTTCGTCTTCTACTCTACATCCTCGCGCAATTCTTAATGAGTGTGATACACCGTTGCCAATCGCATACGAGCCTCGGCACCATAATGCACAATGCGCAATGTTGAACTCCAGAAACAATTATTTCAAATCCATCCAATTCGCCTGGCCGCATATCCCCATCCGCTCAAAAGTGCTGTCACTCCAGTAAAAGCAATCAATGCGCCATACCCGCTACCATAAGCAAAACCTGCACTCCAATTGCCAGCATGCATCAACGCTTCCGATAGAGGACCGCTGCATAGGTTGCCAACGCCTTTTCCAGCGGAGAGACAGGCCCATACGAAGCCAGAGTCTGCACCCCTTCTTTTCTTTTGTGTGTCGGCAACAATGGCACTCCAGGCACTCGACTAGCATCCAGCAAACGCCCCGTAGATGACGCAAAAGATGTACAGGGGTGCTAGTGATGTGGAGAAACCCCAGATTAAGAAACTGCCGACAGCTGAGCCGAGTGCAGAGACCAGCAGACAGTTGGTCACGTGGTACTTGTCCGTGGCCAAGCCCATACAGAGAGACCCAACAAATGCTGCTGCGTTGACAAGTATAATGGTGACAGTGCCTTGAACAGTGCTTGCGCCAATGGAGCGAGCAAATGTGGGGAGGTATATTGCAGGAAGGAAGAAACCAAGGCTTTGGATAACATTCCCTGACTGCAGGATGAGATAGTTTGAGCAGGTCCAGAAAGACAAGTCGAAGCTTCTGGACTGCGAAGTCTGAGATAGAGGGAGACGCGGCTTGAAGAAGAAGATGATTGGGAAATTCAGGGCCACAAAGCTGAGGGCGCAAACCCTGAGGGTTGTTCGGAAGCCATAGGACTGCAGAAGCCATTCCAGGATTAAAGGAAGAATAGCACCGCTTAGTCCGAGACCAGCCATGGTTGCCCCGTATGCGAATCCTCGACGACGAACCCACCACTCTTCAATGTTGAAGAGAATGGGAGTCCATGCTAAACCACCACCCAGCGCGTACAGGATGCCTTGAGTGACGATGAGGTGGGTGACATTCGTCGACAGGGATCCAAGACCAAGTGCAAGACAGACGACGACCAGACCAGCCGGAGTCGCATAGCGGCGGAATCTGGGGAAGTACTTAAGCACAGCGAACCACAAAGTGATGTCCATGTACATGATTCCCTGAGATATACTTTAGGCTTCAATCTATCTGGGGATCTGTGAAAATTACCATTGCGCAAGCACCCACGACTGCAATGTTTCTCTGTCCCGCAAACTCATCACTGGTTGCGTAGTATTCTTGGAACACACCATAGCAGGAGGGAAACCCCCAGATCATTGCCTCGAGCATGAAACAGCCGAACAGGCACAACCAGGCGTCCTTGCCTCCATCGGTAGGTGGCAGAGAAAATGCTGCCTCATTGTGGTAAGCGTCATTATCAGTATGCTGGAATAGTTCAATGTCGTCCAGTGTCGATGGAGCGAGATTGTGTGGGGATAATGTTAGGTCGGACTGGGCACTCTGGGTTGAAGCCATTGTGTGTATGGTTGTTGGAGAAAAGAAATGGGGGACATGGCTATCTAATATCTAAGTCTTTTCCGCAAGCTATGTTGAGGCTATTAGTCACGATGGCGATAGTGGGGAAGTCAATTGTAGGGCGTGCTGCATGCACAATGTACGGCCGGAGGTGGGGTCTTGGCATAATGCAGGGGTGGCAGCGCGACGACGCGCCTTTGAAGAGGGACGCGCCTGGGCCAGCAACAACTTTAGGATCTGGTTGCTAGGAGAATCCCTTTCATTCACCACAACTGCTATGGCGCATTCCCTGTAAAGAACACCCATCGACACGCCCTTCACGTATTCAACGAAATATAGTTTATCATCATGGACGACTCTCCACGATCAGCGAAACGGAGAAAGCTGGATGCCCCCAAGTCCACCGAGTCGACCGCATTGAGGAAGCCATCGACGAGGAAACCCACCGGCAGGCTGGCCAAGCCATCTACCAGCAATACAGACAATGACAAAACACCAAAGGTCGACAAGAAACCTGTCAGGGCAGCCAAGGGAAGGACGTTGAAGAGCGCAACAAATGGCACAGCTGCGAAGCCGACGGCAGCGAAAAATGTAGACGTTTACGACGATTTTGAAGGCGCATTCGACATAGAAGTACCGTCCAAAGCGAATCGTCAACCGTCACAGACAGCACCACAGGGAGATGTGGCAAGCGCTGCGCATGTTGCAGAGGAACCACAGCCAGCCGCTCCACCCAAACGTAGGAGGGGCCGACCTACCAATGCAGAGGTGGCAGCCCGCAAGGCTGCGGCGAATGGAGATGCAATCAATGTTATTCCTTTGGCAACGCGCCCGGCGGCTGCGAAACCTACCGTAAAGACTGCCCGCAAGCCAGCAGCCCCTCGAGCAAAAGCCCCCAGAAAGAAGAAGGAACCAAGTCCAATTCCCGAAGAAGACGAGGGTGAAGAGGACGACTTGCAGGACTCGAGCAAGGCTACCACGCCTCCAAAGCCGCCTCCTGCTCGAAAGACGGCGACGAGTACACAAAAGAAGGCGGTACCAGAGACGTCTGGCGCAGGTGGGATCACTGCTCCAGCAACAGCCCCTAGACGGCGCAAACCTACAACCAAGGAGACCAGTACAGCAGTGAACGAGGACGATCTTCCAGATGCATCCCCGACTGGAAACAAACGACTACCCGCGAGCACAACACGGCGCCTGAATCACACCGATCACATTGCAAACAACGGCGAAGAGCGATGGTCAGATGTTGAAGGACAAGCCGATACACACAATGACGATGACGACTTGGACGTGGATGGCAACAGTGCCTTGGGCAGTGTCTTGGACCCTACCGAACCTAGCCCGTTCAATAAGCCAACTTCAGCGCAAAAGAAAAGTTCTGCTCTACCTCTTATATACAGCAACCTTGCCCCAGGTCATGAGTTGGATTTGATCAAGACTATTGTTATGGAACGGATCACTGGCAAACGTCCCTCGCCTCTGGTCGGCTTGGATGAGGAATACAAATCTGTACACCAAGTTGTTGAACACACCATCACTGCTGGCGAGGGTAACTCTATGCTTATCATCGGCGCTCGGGGTAGTGGGAAGACAGCACTCGTAAACAAAGTCCTCTCCGAAGTTTCCAAAGACAATGGTGGATACTACCATGTTGTTCGACTAAACGGATTTGTACACACTGATGACAAGATTGCGCTGCGAGAAATCTGGCGCCAGCTAGGCAAGGAGATGGACATAGAAGAAGACGGCAGTGGGCCTGGTAAGAACTACGCCGACACGCTAGCCACACTGCTCGCTCTGCTCTCACATCCGTCTGAACAGACAGGTGAAGATACAGATCAAGTAGCCAAAGCAGTCATCTTCATTATGGACGAGTTTGACCTCTTTGCCCATCACCCTCGCCAGACGTTGCTGTACAATCTCTTTGACATTGCACAATCGCGGAAAGCTCCCATCGCCGTTTTGGGTCTGACAACGCGCATCGACGTGACCAATACTCTGGAGAAGCGTGTCAAGAGTCGATTCAGCCATCGATACGTGCATCTCAAACTAGCGACGTCGTTTACTGCTTTTCAGACCATATGCAAAGCTTGCTTGACGTTGGAACCAGAACAGTTGAGCGTCAAGGAGCGAGGCATCTTAGGAGGCGGAGCCAAGTGTACACCGAATAAAGGACAAAAAGGCGGTGCAAAGCAAGACATGGTCAGCGAATGGAATGCCAACATCTTCGTAAGTCCTTTTCCTCAAATCCATCTGTGTCTCACATCACTAACACCAACGTCACAGACACTCTTCTCAACCCCCACCTTCCTAACCCAACATCTTGCATCTTCCTTCTACCTCACAAAATCCGTCCCTCAAGTCCTAACTTCCTTCCTCCTCCCCACCGCCACCCTCAGCCCCGAGATGCCCTTCCAGCCGGGCTATCTACTCAGCGCCCCAGATTCAAAGCTATCCCTCGTGCCCTCGCTATCAACCCTCGCACTCTCTCTGCTTATCGCCGCAGCCCGACTAGACATCATCCACGACTCGGACACGTGCAATTTCAACATGGCGTACGATGAGTATGTCACGCTGGCTTCGCGAGCGCGTATTCAATCGGCGGCGGGTGGACTCAGTAGCAGTAGTGGGGCGAGTAAAGTATGGGGTAAAGATGTAGCGCGTCGTGAGTGGGAGGGTCTGGTGGAGTTGGGCTTATGCATGCCGGTTGTTCAAGGTCAGGTGGGCTCGTTCGGTATGGTGAGGTGTGATGTTGCGCTTGAAGAGGTGGGCGAGGTGCTCAAGGGGATTAGGGGTGGGGATAAGGGCTTGGAGAGGTGGTGTCGCAGTATTTAGGCGTGGGTGTTGTATTGGTATGGACGTGTTTGAGTATTCAACTTCTGCCTTTGAGCGGGGCGGTTGTTTCTATTTTCTTTTCTTTTACGCAGATTGCATCGTTTTCTAGCGTACAGCGTACATCATTTGGTAAAAGCATTAGCCTTAGCATCGTTGGATGGTGTTGTAGACATTTGCATATATTCATTCTTCTACATTAATTCCTGCTTGCCAGCTATCCAGCCCATCACTCATTCTCCCCAGTAAGTAGCGTACTTGCTCTCGCCGCCGAGTACGTTGACAAATTCTTTGGCTATGATGCGGCTGGTCTGCTCACTTGGATGCAGCGGGTCATACCACATGAAGCTGTCCAGACTGGCAGCCGTGGTGCAGTTGCTTCCCTGGTCGTTGCACAGATGCGCCGCGCCTTCTACATTGGGCGGTGCAGTGCCATTGAAGTACTTGCTTGGGTGATAGTAGATTTCCTGCATCAGAGCGTTGACGTCGAAATTCACTACTGTGGCGCCGTCCCACAACTCCGTGTAGTCGAACTGGTAGGGTGTACGATACTTGAACAGTCCGTTCAACGCAGCAACTGTGTTTTTCATGCGGCCATGAAGCGCAGTCAGGTTCTTTCCGGGGGCGTCGTTGAAGAATTGCGTCGATTGCAAGCCACCTTTCTCGGGAAGTTGATATTGTGGCAGCAATTCAAGGGGCGCCAGGTTCAAGAGAACAACATAGCGGGCACCGTTATTGTAAAGACGGGTAATTTGGTCGTAGATGCAGTCCACGTAGTCAATGACAGTCTTGCCGGGTAACTGTTTATCGGTCAAAAAGGCGCCATTGCCGAGATCATTGGTCCCAATCCAGATGGCATAAGCAGTGTCCGAGGCTTTGCCAGTGAAGAATTTGGTGCCGTTCGGGTTGACGTATTTGGAGTCAGCGATGAAAGCGGGCACTTCATAGCCATCAATGTCAGGGAAAGGGCCATTGATGGCGGCGAGGGGCCTTGGAGATACTTTGTTGGAGCATACAGCTCCAGAGACAGCATAGTTGTAGAGCTTTGCGCCAGAGTAGTCACTGGCCAATCGAGCCCAAGACCGTCCTCCAGATGCTGTTTTCAAGCCCTGCATTGTATGTTTAGGATGGGCAACAATGTCTGTAGGTGGGCCAACATACCACTGGCTGCTGCCAACCCACTGGCGGAGCGGAGCCATTGTTGTTGATGAAGTAACCTAAGCGATTTTCATCTGTATAACTGTCGCCAAAGGTGACCAGCGTGGTGAACCTTGCATTGGCGGGTGCGGGTTTAATTTTACTAGCAACAGCCAAGTTTGCGAAGAGAGCGCGAACAAGCCATTCAGTTAACATGACGACGGAAGTTTTGTGGAGTTGGTAACGGCCCCACGGGCATGTTGACGGGTACTTATAGCGTCAAGCATCCGGAGACGGCATCGTCCATGTACGCATGCGGAGCACTAAGGCATTTTCCCTGTCGATACACGGGCTTCATCGACAACATTGGAGAAGCAAGATGGAGTGCGGGGAATTGAATCTGCGCATACCGGGTTCGGCAGAAGGAAGAAGGCGGGTTGATGGCGCTATACGCTTTGTAGATGTAGTTACGGTGGCAGCCGGCTAAATAGTGTGTTCTCCATGGGCTTGCTCATCAAAAGATGGCGATGGCCCGAGGAGTTGAGGCCGGCGCTCGGAAGAATTCAAGGCGAGTGTGTATTGCCGCAGTTGGATGGATGCGGCGCGTCTTTGGCGTCAACGTCGTTTGGGTGATTGGCATCATGTCGTCATTGGCATTGGCGACGATGGAGCACGGCCATAACGGATATAACCACAAGTACAGCAACGGTTATCGATGACGGTTGGAGGCCTGTCGTCAAGCTACTGCCGGCCGAGGATATGGGCGTCGAGTGCTGCGGGGCTGCACATGGCAGTATGTAAGTAACATGAGTACATACAGAGCACATATGTACATGATAACCCCACGCATAATGTACACATACATACATGGAGCCTGGCTGGTCATGGCGGGCCGAATCCAAGGCACGACAACGGTCTTGGTTTTGTTCGACGAGGGTTCGTCTATCGCACCCGCTTCCCCGATGCAGTGCATATGCGCACGGCCATGGAGAGAGTTCAACGTCGATAGGCGATGGGGGTGTAATGGATGATAGGCGCCACAATGCTTGGTCCCAGGGCGCGGGCATGTCGTCGGCAGCAAAAGGCCATGCTTGTAACAAGATAATCAAGGTCAGCGCTTCCTCCAAGCAAAGAATAAAAACAAACAAGGTCAGCGGTAGCCATGGCACCTGGGCGGGTGAGTGCGAGAGCGAGAGCGTGAAGGATCAACCAGGAGAGGGCCCCATCGGACGGTTTTTCGCTACCAAGCTGTCGGAGTCAGAGGCTTGTGAAATGCCAGCAATGCCAATCAGCCCCCGGACCCCGAAGATGAGCAGAGGCGTGGCCGATTGCGCCCATGCTGTCAAGGGCAAGACGCGTCTTGCTTGCTTGACGTAGGTGGTGGTCGTAGGACTAGTGGTGGCAGTGGTGGCAGGACGAGAGTTAGTGCTGTTGCCTCTACTGCTCACCCTTCCTTCCTCGTCCTCAACTCACGATATTCCTCTTCTCCTCTGCCCTAATCCCCTCACCCCTTTGTCGTTCGCCTTTCTCCATCGTTTTCCTTGTACCTCTTTGCTGCGACCCGAGACCACACATCAGCCCATGATCTGTCTACCAAGCCACCATCATGGCCCCGTTGCCAACAGTAGCCTCGCCTCTCATGTATCGATGCTTCATAAAACACCACGCGTTGCTCCAAACCTTGCCGGCTCTCTCCACGCTTACATGTAGACGGGCACGATGACTTGTCATATACAAACTACAGCGACCAAACAACCCAAACTAGTTTGACGACAGCTATAAAGAATGCTACAACCCTGCACGTCATCCTGTCGCGACCACACAATTCCGTCCCCACACAAGACTCAGGCTCCAACATCACCGCTGACACAAGACGCACCTTGCAACAGAACAGTCTTCGCTGTATGATCATCCTACACGCCATTAGCCAGTACTCTTCCGTCCTCGTCCGACAAATCTGGCATACAGTCAGCTGCTTTGTGTCTCTCACTCTTGCGCCACTACATACATTTCCATATATAGCTTCAACCCGACATCCTCGAGCTCTTCGCGAACCTCCCCCATGAGATGGTCAAACTGTGCAGCCGTCCAACCAAGCTCCGCAGTGAATGGCCAAAGCCCAATCGACTCGAGGAGATCGCCAATTACCTGCACCCAGACGGGCATGGTCAATACCTTGGACCTCCTCACTGTTGTCAAGAGCCATGACCTACATCGATTGCTTCTTCTCCCATATTGGCCTTGACTGGGTCTGTTCAATACGTTAACATCTCCTCACGCTGGTACAACACTGCTTCTACACCATAGCAGGCTCACCCATGTCGGTAGCATCCACAATACTGCAGCAGATTGAAAAAGGATGATCCTACCTGCGGGCCAGCCACCGATGTGGAGCTGCAAAATATCGACTGCTACATCGCGGTACCTGTTCTCAACAAGCAGCTGAGACAAGCGACGACCTATCCTTGGATCTCTATCCATCCTCATCATTGCAGCCTGGTACGACTGCCACCACCTCCTGACTGCAGAATTCTCTGTGAGACGTCCGTTATGAGACTGGATGATGGGGAGGTACTCCATGACTTGAACCCATCCTCCTGGTCGTAGCAGGAGCTTCATGTCTCTAATGTACCTAGGCCATCTCCCCGTTTTTATTCCCGGAAATACAAATCGCGAGTGGATTAAGTCATATTGATTTGCTTTGAAAATATCGGGATCGCGGAGTGGATCGTTAAGATTGTGGCCGATCAGTTCTAAATTCTCAGGTTGATCTGAAACTTGCCTGGAGAATAGATGGTTAGCTTCGACTCGTCATAGCCACCATCCCCTACGTCCTATTCACTCACATAGGAAATATATCAATAGCGGTGACCTGTAGTAGTCAATATCTGCTGGCCAGGTGACGGGCATTGCTAGAATCAACCCATCTTCGCCAACACGATCAGCATATTGGAGTACACACCTCGCAGTCCTCAAATTCATCTGCACACTGGACAGCCCAGTCACCTCCCCCATAACCGCATTCCAGTATCGACTGAGGTTCTGTTACTGGTATCCGGTCGGAAAACAGCCTGTTCCCCAAGAGTCTGGACACGAGATCATGTTGGGCAGTCAGTCTGCTCTCCTCGCGGTCGTCGATGGCCACCGGGGCGAAATAGATTTTCTCGTCTAGCGATATCTTCTGGAAAATTCGGCCATGGACGCTTACTCTTTCTGTGTCGTCACTCATTGGTATGTTCGTTGGATGGAATTTATGGCTCGAACAGCTCGCGTGCTCCGAAGTCGACTGCAGTACACTCTACCGAGGCGATAAGGCAATGTTGAACAAGATGCAAGTAAGCGACAGAAGGAACCTAATGCTTGTGTCGATGATGAACCGACCAGATGGGCACACCACCTCTGTGATCTGCACAGTGCTGTGAGTTGGCAACAGACTCGGCACAGGCGCAAAATTATCCGCTATCGTGGCGACTGCCAACGTCACTAGGGGGATGCTGACCAGGTGGCCATAAGCCGTAGGTTACGGACACGGGAACCTGAGCACCCCCGACATCGAGGACCTAGGCGCTGTACCTACTCCCAAGAAGCTAGTTCATCATCGTACAAGACAAGGATCACCAAGCTCTGGCGAAGTACAGACCTCTCAAAGACCACCAGAGTAGCAGCAATAACGGCTAGCATGGAATGAGAATGAGGACTCGGCCCACAGGCTCATCCCCTATTCTGCCGCACATAGTTCCCTACAACAGGCCGGCGGTGGATGATGGAAAATGAGGCTGAGGCCCGCAAGAGCACAGGCTGCGCTTTCAAGGAATCGACATGAGTTAGACCTAATCAACAGTTGCATGATGACATTACACCATCAATGGGAGCCATCCCTGTCTTCGGCAAGCTGCATTGCCGGACAGACGGGTGTTTGGCGCTCGTGTGCAGAAACGGCCTGAGAAGGGGGCAGAGCCGCTACAACCTTCAGAGATTATCCTGCTTGCGAGGCTCTGTAACGTCCGATCATCATGGCACCGACTCATGACAAGGCTGGAGGCCAGTAGCCATCACACCTCCTTTCAACCATTCTTTGTATGAAAACAAAGAGAACCCCCACGCTAACGCATGTTCTTTGGTCAATGACTAGCACGTGGTGCATGCATCAGGCGGGCGGATAGCCCCGCCCGCTGACAGTCTTGTCGACAATGACACCGTTGACATGGCCTCGGGACAGGCCTCCCAAACCAACATCGTCACATTAGTATGTCACTAAGAACCCAACGGCAATGACTTCCAACAGTCTTTCAGTTAGCATAATGTTCATATGAATGATTTGTCCAGGGTGGCACGTACGATGCTGCGCAAATCCCTTCCTGTATCAACTCCGGACATGCACTCAGCTGACCTTTGGAGGGACAGTCCTTTTTAGCCTGATGACAGTATGATGCACATACCACTGGAAAGTTTAGGGCGCATTCTCTCCGGACCCTGTAAGGCAGAGCTGGTAATTCTAAATGGCTAGCTGGTCACGAATCTTTCCTTGTGCGCATGAAGCGAACCGAATGGATCTGATGAGCAACGTTGCGTTCCGAATGCAAAAATGATTACATTGGTCAATGGGAGACATTGTTCACATATACATGTGTAGCTTCTGTCCCGCTAAACAGGCCCACTACAGTACAGAGCATGAGGCATTTTTCTGGGCATATGACATGTGTGCAATAGATACAAAACGAACAGAAATGGATACGAATACGGTTACAGGTCAAAAGACGGTAACAAGAGAGGCTTTCAACGACTCACCGGACTTGCGAACCAGCCGCGTTGTCCGTGCTCAATTCTAGTTCCACTCAAGCCACGCGGAAGCCCTACTAGGCCACCTAAGTACATTGAATAGGTCCTTGCACGCTGCGTCCTGCATCTGCCGTGCGCGCAGCCCTATCGTGAATGTGCTCTATGCGCGATTCTCGGACCGAGACGATGATAACCGCGCTCACCACGACTCCTCACAAGCTTCACTAGTGTTGCAGGTACATGGATACCATCCACGGCGTCATGTCCTATCTTCGCTAGAGTGCGTATACATTGCGATTTGGGGAGCAGGGAACATGAGGATACACTCGAAGCTTGAGAGGAAGGATCTGGAAGGGAGGCCAAGCTCAATCGAGTTGGGTGATGGATGCCACACGATGACCGGGCTATATTGGCGATAGAAAGAATGAAAATTTGCGGTCCAGGAGTGAGAAGCGGTGTCGGTAAGAATATGTACGGCTCGGTATCTTGTTCGGCACTATTTAGATGTGAAGCAGACTAAAGGAATTCTGCTCGAGCATCACTTCATGCACTTGGCTACTCAGAGTTGATGCTGCTTCATAACTGATTAGCGTCTGTATCCTCCGAGTCTGAGTGGATGGATAAAGAGGCTGTACGATGTGACTCTCGTCCAGGATGGGGATCGACGCTTAGCAGATGACGCTTCTACCTGCCCAACAAATTCCAGGGAGGTATAAGTATCTATGTTACAGCCTTTACGATCCTGTACGTCCACACATAGACTTTTGATTTACGCGGAAACTTCTCAACGACTTCCCGACTGTAATAGTGGGATTGGGCTTTGACAATTTTTCGCATGCGGCTTTGCAGGGTGTATGCTATGGTAAGGGTACGATGAAGGATTTGGACTTGCTACGTTCAGGATGCATAGATGCAGCTTTTGGGTATTTGGATCGGTCATATACCATTCCTGTCCTATTTTTCCAACGGCATTTGACGTGACAAGATAGTATGTAGTCAACTCGCGCGTCATCACGTGCCGTTCTGGCCAGGGGCACCGAGATCCGGGGCTATGCATGGTTGGGAAGAACCATGTATGGAGACCCCAGACAAGATGGAACATGGCTTTGGCGACTGTCATATGATACCCCGGAGTTCTCTAGCAGGAGCACAACATCAGATAACGCGGTGCAAGGACATGTGAAAGTGTGAGGGCGCACGGTTCGCAATTCTCCACACATGACCAACTGCCGTCGGGACCGAGGTAACTCGTCATCGCCAGCAGCTCGGCTGCTTTCATGAGACATGGCCGTAAGAACGACTTCATATTGACTGCCACCATAACTTCTGACATCCTTTCCTCTCATCTTCAGCTTTCCCATTTTCTCATTTGATATCCCGGGATCTTTGCTGATTCCCACTTGACTTGTGACACCTTGCTTGCTTGCTTGCTGCATCTATCTGAGCTTTGCACAGTCGCGACACAGCTTCAGACGCGAGCAAAGAGCCATCTCCTTCACAAGACTCCCATATACACACACATCATGACTGCGCAAGAGCTGCGATACGACGGCCAAACCGTCGTTGTAACAGGCGCTGGTGGTGGATTGGGTCGCGAGTATGCCATCTTCTATGGCAGCCGCGGCGCCAATGTCGTGGTCAACGACCTCGGCAGCAGCTTCAAGGGCGAGGGCCAGGGCTCAGCGGTATGTTCCTTTCTTTAACCCGAAACTGCTTCAGGCACATCAAGATATAATGTACCCATGGCTGACGCGAACACGATAGGCCGCAGACAAGGTCGTCGAGCAAATTCGTAGCGCAGGCGGCAAAGCTGTTGCCAACTACGACTCAGTAGAGAATGGTGAGGCGATTATCAAGACGGCCATTGATGCCTTTGGTCGTATCGACATCCTCATCAACAATGCCGGCATTCTCCGCGATATCAGCTTCAAGAACATGAAGCAGGCCGACTGGGATCTCATCTACAAAGTCCACGTTTACGGAGCATACAAGTGCGCACGTGCCGCATGGCCCTACTTCAGGAAACAAAAGTACGGACGACTTATCAGCACTGCGTCGGCTGCTGGTTTGTTTGGATCTTTTGGACAGACAAACTACTCTGGTAAGCTCAAATCCAAGCCAACACCATGATGGAGGGCTAACTCGCGCAGCTGCTAAACTTGCCCTTGTTGGCTTCACTGAGACACTTGCAAAGGAGGGTCTGAAATACAACATTCTCTGCAATGTCGTCGCCCCAATTGCCGCCAGCCGAATGACTGAGACTGTCATGCCCCCAGATGTTCTCGAGAAGATGAAGCCCGAGTGGGTTGTTCCCATTGTCGCAGTCCTTACACACAAGTCGTCCACCGAGACAGGCTCCATCTTTGAGGCTGGAGCTGGACACGTTGCTAAGCTCCGTTGGGAGCGAGCAACCGGCGCTCTGCTCAAAGCTGATGACACACTCACACCCGAGGCCCTCGCTACTAAATGGAAGGATGTTGTCGACTTTTCCAAGCCTGAGCACCCTCAGGGCCCCGCAGATGCTCTTGAGCTGCTCGAGAAGGCCAACCAACTCCCCCCCAACCCCAAGGGCGAGCCGCTTGACTTCAAGGGCAAGGTCGCTTTGGTCACTGGTGGAGGTGCTGGTCTCGGCCGCATCTACTGCCTGCAACTTGCCAAGCGCGGCGCGAAGGTTGTGGTTAATGATCTTGTTAACCCCGACACCACTGTTCAGGAGATCCAGAAGCTTGGCGGAGAGGCTGTCGGCAACAAGGCCGATGTCCAGGATGGCGAGGCTGTCATCAAAACTGCCATTGAGAAGTACGGCCGCATTGACATTCTGATCAACAATGCAGGTATCCTTCGGGACAAGGCTTTCGCAAACATGACCGATGAGCAGTGGGACATCATTCACAAGGTGCACCTCTTCGGCACCTATGCATGCACCAAGGCTGCCTGGCCTTATATGCTCAAGCAAAAGTACGGCCGCATCCTCAACACTACCTCCACCAGCGGTATCTACGGCAACTTTGGCCAGGCAAACTACGCCTCGGCCAAGTGCGGTATTCTTGGTTTCTCTAAGTCTCTCGCTCTTGAGGGCAAGAAGAACAACATCTTTGTCAACACCGTCGCCCCCAACGCGGGAACCCAGATGACCCGAACCATTATGCCCGAGGAAGTTGTCCAGGCCCTCAAGCCTGACTACAACGCTCCTCTGGTCGTTCTCCTCGTCTCTGACAAGGCTCCTGAGCCAACCGGTGGCTTGTACGAGATGGGCTCTGGCTGGTTCGCTGCTACCAGATGGCAACGCAGCGGTGGCCATGGCTTCCCAGTTGATGTTAAGCTCACTCCCGAGGCTGTCCTCGCTCAATGGCCGCGCATCACCAACTTTGATGACGGCCGTGCTGACCACCCCTTCGACAACGCCAGTGGACTCAAGTCCATCATGGCAAACATCGAGAACACTTCTAAGGGCAAGAAGGAGAAGGAGTCTGCCAAGAGCAACGAGGAGATCCTCGAGGCTCAGAAGAAGGCTTTGGCTGCCAAGTCCGAGGGTACTCCTTTCAGCTACACTGAGCGTGACGTGATTCTTTACAGTAAGTTTCTTGCACTTGAATACTATCAATTACAAAATCTAACTAGTGGCGACAGACCTCGGCGTTGGTGCCAAGCGCACCGATCTTCCATTCGTGTACGAGGGCGACGAGAACTTCCAGGTTATCCCCACCTTTGGTGTCGTTCCTCCATTCAACGCAGAAGCTCCTTTCACATTCGATGAGATTGTTCCCAACTTCGACCCCCGCATGCTTCTCCACGGCGAGCAGTATCTCGAGATCCGCAAGTTCCCCATTCCCACAGAAGCCAACCTCGTTGCTATTCCCAAGCTGGTCGAAGTTGTTGACAAGGGCGCTGCTGGACTGGTTGTATATGGCAGCGTGACCAAGGACGCGAAGACTGGAGAGGAAATCTTCTATAACGAGAGCACCGTCTTCATCCGTGGCTCCGGTAACTTCGGTGGCCCTAAGAAGGGTACTGATCGCGGCGCAGCAACCAAGGTTCACCAGCCTCCCAAGCGTGCCCCTGATACCGTTGTTGAAGAGCGCACGACTGAGGAACAGGCTGCTATCTACCGTCTCTCTGGCGACTTGAACCCTCTCCACATTGACCCTGTGTTCAGCAAAGCGGGTGGTTTCCCCACACCCATTCTGCACGGCTTGTGCAGCTTTGGTGTCTCGGGTAAGCACATTCTGCAAACATACGGACCTTTCAAGAACATCAAGGTCCGCTTTGCCGGTGTTGTGCTGCCTGGCCAGACCCTTATCACCGAGATGTGGAAGGTCGGCAACACCGTCTTGTTCCAGACCAAGGTCAAGGAGACTGGCAAGTTAGCCATTAGCGGTGCTGGTGCCGAGCTGATGGGTGGCGCGAGCAAGTTGTAAAAAAAAAAGAATGGCGAGTTGACGAAGACATTGATTTTTGTTCCAAGTAGCCCATGTTTGAATATGTAGATTTATAGCATTTAACGTTTTCAATCAAGTTTGTTCTTATTCAAATCTAGTCTTATTTTTACGTTATATGTAATAATATCTGTTGGACTTTCAAAAGATTGCAATAAATTCAATGGATGGTCAAGTCGATTCCCTGCAGTGGTTTTTCAGTCCTATGATTGAGTCGGGAACTATTGCAACTCGTATTGCAGATGAATTTAAACTTTTATTTATCTCATGTCCATTTTCAAGCCGACAATGCAGACTAGTTTGATGGAGAATCACCTCTCCTCCACAACGCATCCGCCATCTTGGCAACTTGGGTCATCTCCTTCACATCATGTACTCTAAGGATCTCAGCGCCTCCCTGTATGGCTGCCGAGACAGCCACAGCCGTGCCCCACACACGTTGTTGCGCGTTCTCGACACCAGTGATACGTCCAATGAAAGCCTTTCGGCTTGTCCCCACTAGCCAGGGTATACCCTCCAAACCAGGATACTTGCCAAGTTGATGCTGCTGGCGCAGCAATTCGAGATTCTGTTCTTGCGTCTTTGCGAATCCAATGCCTGGATCGAGGATCATGCGCCATCGTCTGACGCCTGCTTCTTCGGCTGCCCGAACGCGTTGCAGCAATTCGCGACCAACGGTTTCGACAATGCCGTCGGGGTAGCTCGTGTTCTCGCGAGAGTTCATGGTTTCTGGGGTTCCGCGCATGTGCATTAGGCACACGGTGCAGCCGAGTTTACCCATTGTAGGTAGCATTTCTGTATCCATTGCGCCTGCGCTGACGTCGTTGATCATGTTGGCGCCACCTTTGATGGCTTCTTCGGCGACGCGTGCACGGTATGTGTCGATGCTGATAGCTATATCCTTTGCCTCTGGGATTGAGCGAATGAATGTTATGGCGGGGAGGACTCGCGATAGTTCTTCCTCTGTGGAGACTTGGACTGCGCCGGGTCGGGTGGACTGGCCGCCTACGTCGATGATGGTTGCTCCACTTGCAATGTGTGCTCTGATTGTTTCAGCCAATGTTTCTTGGTCGTTGTTGTAGTTCACGCCACCATCGGAGAAAGAGTCTGGTGTGACATTGAGAATGGACATTATGCGTGTTTTTTGCTCAGTTTTGGCAGACGAGATTGGAGAGAAATCTGATGCGAGCGGCACTATTGGTACCAGTGGCGCTTCGGACTTTGGCAGTTTCGCTAGACGTTGCTGAATGGATTCCTGAAATGGGAAATTGACTTGGTTATTTTCTAGTATGAGTCTAAGAATAGTCAGCTGAGATCATTCGCACAAGTGATAGATAGCTTACTCGCTCAACGGCCGCAAGACAAATTCCCTCTCGAACATTAGGGCATGAGGAATCTGAAGCCTTTCGTTGGAGAATTCAGTCTCGCCGTACAGCAAAATATCCAGATCGATGTTCCGAGGGCCCTTGTCAATAACCTTGACACGGCCCATTCTATTCTCAACAGCTTGCAATTCATCTAGCAGCTCGATAGGCGAAAGTGAAGTCTCTATCTACCTAACTTAGTGCAGTGTTACGGTACAAAAACACGGAGGGCATACCTCGCAGACACCGTTTACAAAATTGTCCTGATCGAGAACGTACATGGCTTTACTTTCCCATAAGCTGCTCGTCCGAATGATGCGTATCTTTTCGCCCGACTCCATCTCTTTGCATGCCTGCTCAATCATGGCTGCCCTATCACCCATATTGCTCCCCAGAGCGATGAAGGCATGGCGCTTCTTAGCATGTTCGTCATTTTGCAGACTCGATATGTTTCGTTGAGCAAATTGCTGCGGCTCTCGATACTGATGCTCAAGGCCCCGGCTGGGCGCATGGCATGCAGATACGAGGGCCCGGCGTCTACTCTGCCATTGCGGAAAATTTTCCACGGCCTGACCCGATACATGTCTGCTGTAGGCTGACCATGGCCGCGATATACGGTGAATGAAGCCTTGGGATATGACCCTCGGCACCGGCATGCGCAGAGTATTGGACAACATGGTTGTCCAAGACGGAGTCGATCACAAATCAGCGTGACGACACCATGCGGGCAATGCTAGTCCCGGCCTTCCCCAGACAGCGCTAGCTCCGGATATGGCTAGCCTTCTCCGCGTGACACTTGCGCTGTGCCTCGGCTCACGGCTCGGAGACGAGCTGGAAAGGATTCATCTCCTCTCCTCCTCACCCCATAAGATCCGAGCCAACTCCTCGTCGCTTTTACCTGCGTCACCGACTGCTACAATATCTTGCTCTGTCTCGCTCTTCTTCTAGCTGTAGATACTTCCTTCACCGCAACCATGGCCGCACCACGTATGTTGCCATCGCCCCAGTGGCACAGTCCTATTTCACATGCGCCCATGGCTAACACAGGACAGAGCAAATCCGTACCAAACTCACCGACCTGCTGAAGATTCAGCATCCCGTCATTCTTGCCGGAATGAACGTGGCTGCTGGGCCCAGGCTTGCTGCCGCCGTTACCAACGCCGGAGGTCTTGGTGTCATCGGTGGTCTCGGATACACACCAGATATGCTCCGTGAGCAGATCGCTGAGCTCAAGGGATACCTGACCGACAAGAACGCGCCCTTCGGTATTGACCTGCTTCTTCCCCAGGTGGGAGGCAACGCTCGCAAGACCAAGTATGTCTCAACCATCGGGCCCACCTTTACGACGCAATAAACTGACCAGGGATAGCTACGACTACACAAAGGGCAAGTTGGGCGAGCTCGTCGATGTCATCATCGAGTCCGGCGCCAAACTCTTCGTCTCCGCTGTTGGCGTGCCACCCAAGGCTGTCGTCGAGAAGCTGCACAAGGCGGGCGTTCTATACATGAACATGATCGGACACCCCAAGCACATCCAAAAGTGCCTGGATATCGGTGTTGACATCATCTGCGCACAGGGAGGCGAGGGTGGAGGCCACACTGGAGATGTCCCCACATCCGTCTTCATCCCAGCCGCAGTCAAGATGGTTCAGGGCCACAAGTCGCCTTTGACCGGCGAGCAGGTCCAAGTCGTAGCTGCTGGCGGTGTCTACAGCGGCCAATCCCTTGCTGCTATGCTCGCCTTTGGCGCGACCGGTGTGTGGGTTGGAACACGCTTCATCCTCTGCGAGGAGGCCGGTGCGCCAAAGGTTCACCAGGAAGCCGTCCGCACTGCTGGCTGGGACGACAACATCCGCACAATCATCTTCACTGGACGACCCCTCCGTATCCGCAACAACCCATATGTCAACAACTGGGAAGAGAACAGGCAACAAGAAATCAAGGAGCTCACCAGCAAGGGCATAATACCCGTCGAGCACGATCTCGAGAAGATGGGCGACGATATCGATGATGAGACCATGGACAATGCCCGACCCTTCCTCATGGGCAAGGTTGCTGCCGTTGTCAATGAGAAGAAGACCGCTAAGGAGATTGTTGACGAGCTTGTCACTGATGCTGTCAAGGCGCTCCAGGACGGAAACTCATTGATTGTTTCCAAGCCCAAGCTTTAGGCGTTGATTTTTGTCTAAGTTCATGTTTGATCTTATTGTTTTTTGCTCTAGCATGAATACTGGATACCTGATTGTACATTTGAGAATCGGTATTTTGTAGACGTATCGAGCGCTTGTTGCGTTGTCTTTCGGGCTCTAGTAATGTCTCGCAATCACGATGGATGTTACTCTGTAAGGCTATAAAAGTCACGAAGGAAAAACAGAATGTATGATTAAGAAAACGATTGCTCAGTGCTCATGCGAGATTCATATATATGGTGAAACGAAATGTCTATCTTGAATTGCCACGTAAAGTGATGAACGAAATACTGTACACTTGAAAAGAAAATTACAATCTAAACTTCTCACGCCTTTTTCTTGGGCGATCTCACCTTTTGCTTCTCAGTGGATTGAAGCCGAAAGCTCGGCAACACAGCGCATCCAAGCACAAAAACAAGCGCATAAAACGCCGGGCGGTTCCTACACAATGCGAGCGCATGCAAGCTATACAGTATTGTCAAGAGTTGCCAGAAGAACATGTACACCCAATCGTAGGTGGCTTTGAGTTCAGAACGTGCGTATGCTGAGTAGGCATAGACGTAGTCGCTGTATGTTGGGGGCGCAAGTATATCAGCCCACTGCTCGTGTCGAGCGTCGTGAGACATGTCGCGTACATTGAGAGCCGCTGGGGACCGTTGCTCCAGCACATAACTCCATACGACGTTGAGATTGCCTTGTGAATCATACGGCTTCCCTTCGTGTATAAAACGCTCCCACTTCTTCACTGTCTCGACCGCCATATATTCCGAAACTTCAAACCACTCGTCATGTCCTTTTGTCCTGTTGGTACAAGAGCGATACCTGACCTGATAACACAAATCCATATGTATAAGCTTTTCTAGGAGATTGCAGTTTTGAATCTCTTGGGCCGACACGTGAAAAGGGTCTGGTTCAAATTTGCAACAGTTCTTGTGTTCGTCGAATCGTTCATTGTACAAGCGCTTGGTGGTGCCGATTTTCCAGACAGACCCATCACTGGTTGGATGCCGGAAAACATATATGACGCCTTTGATTCGATCGTCATCGCTCAGCTTGGTCCTGATTCGATTGCATAGTTTGGCATGTGTCAATCTGGCCGTCTCTTGTGTCTTGGGTCGGGAATAGATTTCTTCACTATCGGCTCGCTGCCCAGAAGCATGTGCAGTATTTGTGTTTGAAGTGCAAGTACGTTTCTGTGGTATGGTGGCGTCAAAGACGTCAGATGATGTATCTTGAGGTCGTTTTAAGGCTGCAGTTGATGGAGTCTGATTTGAATTGGCAGATTGAGATGGACGAGTAGGTGATTGATCTGGCGCTATCTGTGGTCCACTCTCTGAGTCTGTAGATGGGCGGCGTTTCGAGGTACGTGGTATGGACACCCTGCGTCGAGTCTCTGTAGGTGATGATCGATCTGACTTCCGCGCAGCATATGAAGGGGATGGTGAAAGTTCGCCGAAGACCATGGTAGTAGAGGACGTGTGAATTATTGATTGAAGAACAGGAATTGAATTCTGTATTTCTGCTGGATTCGCTGCTCCTGAATTCCCAGTTTAAGTAATGCTGTCAGCCTAATTTTAGGGACTGTGAAGGATTGGAAGGGGTATTTCCTTCCAGACACATGGAATATATTGGCAGATATGTGGCAGTGCTGGGGCTTGTTTCGCAGGTTTGACTGCGCATCCTTCGGAGAAAACCCTTGTCAGATTGTCACGAATGCCATTGGACACCAACGAAGTTGGGCACGAGAGAGAAAGTTGTCATGTTGGCAATATCGGAGGAACGAATGTAGGTGGGCGAAAGCTGTGGCGAGAGATTGACAAGTTGGTGACATATTTGGTGCGCATGCTCATCGTGGCTTTTACCCACACCCAGGGCAAACAATGTTTTCGCACTCAAACGTGGTAGTCAAAGAAGTAGAAGTGCAGCGGCTGAGCCCGCTCGGTGGGTTCAGCCGAAGGATTCCGTAAATGCGAGGCTCATGGCTTCAGCCCCCAGGATTAGTGCTGCGGCCCAAGTGGGAAAGGCTTCGAGTATTGGCACTGAGATGATTGGATGGTGGTGAGGGAACACTCGCGCGCTTGCAGTTCGCCCCTTAGTTGTGCAGTGCTCGCGCTTCATGAACATATTTGGTTCTACATGGAAGATGATGTGGCTGTGGCTGAGGATCCCGGTATCGTAGAGGGACTAGTAGTACTTACTGCCTGTATAGGCAGGCAGATTGCTTTCGCGACGGCTCAAGTATCACATAGAATTCGACTTGCATGAGCTGAGCGAGAATATCAGACGATGGAAGACCGGTCGCATGCCTGAGATGGAAATGATGCAAGGCTGACGGCGGGGACATGAGTCTGGGTATCCGGTGAAGCTTGACGGATCCATGAGATGTCGTTTCTTGGCCCACAATGTACCTATGCTAGGCAATTTGACGAGCTGAGACTTTTGAGAACGGCAAGTTGTTGCCGGCTCAGATTGCGGGTGGCCATAGGTGCGATTCCTCCTGCGCTCGTTGTTTAGAGAAGCACCAATAACGGGGAGATGATGATGGTGATAATAACACTTAGCCGATACGAAGCCGGTGAGACAAGATATCAGATATAAGACTTGGTCTCCCTGAGCATATCTCGTCGCCTGTAATTCTGTCCATTGGCGGAAACAATCTTGTGGCATGCTGGTAGTGCGGGAATAATTTGGGGAAATAGGTGACGTAGTCGTAGTCCTCCCAAGGCCCTGGATATGTACTTTGTTGAGCTGCCGAGATAGACAGTGCTGCGCAGCACGTAGCGGTACATGAACAGCAAAGCAAGAGGCCAATAGTCAGATCAGTTGCAATGCAGTGTCACGGTATGCGACGTATAGAAAAGCAAAGGCGTAAGAGGCGAGGCCGCGACATTAGGCTTGTGGGGGACGCTAGCCAGCCCCCAGTCCAGCCCGCGTACCTTTCGGGACTACTGTTCAACGTCCTCACCGACACCCGTCTCACTCGTGCAAGCTCTGTTCCCTGATGCCTAGCAAGCCCACCTGAATCTCTATCTTCGTGTACATGCCCGCAATCGTCCAACTAATCGATTGCAGCTTGGGCTTCAGGTGGAAGGAAGTCTTGTCCAAATAGTTGCTGTTGGATACTCATTTGAGGTGGCAACAGACAACATGGCGTCGCTCCAGACTCCAATATCCCACCAATCATTCTTTTCAGACATACCGCCAATCTCACATTGCCATCGTCTCTGGGTCAGTATCCAGAAGCTTCAACTTGATTCGACATCTACTCACCTGATCAGGATCCAAAAACTGCTAGGTTTACACCATGCGCGTTACCTTATGTTGCAACCATACCAGCCATACTTGCGGCCTTGGTCTTGCTGAGATACTCTTTAAGGGTGACAAGTCCGTACTGGCCAAGATGGACGAAACCCCTGGTACAGGAGACCCAGGAGAAAGACGATGAGTTTGAAGCCGCGTCGCCTCAGCAGCCTTTGGGTGCGACCATCTGGCTTCTCGTCATAGCGTTAATCGGTCTTACATTTCAAACTGTTCACGTATTTCTTCCGTGGCATCAGCCAATGGCCATGTATCCAGCAATCGCCTGGGTACGCACGAGTCCAGATTTTCTTGATGCATCCATGGCTAACAAGTTGCCTAGGCCATTGCAATCGCCATAATCCTGGTCGAGCAGCCGAGAACTGCGTCTTTATCATTGTTAATGCTCTTTACAGGACTCATGTTGGAGCAAATCATCATGTTATCCCACAAGCAAACCTTTTTGCCAAGCGATCTTCCGTGGGCTGTTCCACCTGCAGCAGCGTTCCTGGCAATCATCATTATCCTTAACATGCCGTTGCGGGACCCAATGCTGCCTAGATATGATATCAGTGCCGTCCATGACACACCAACTATCACACTACGCACTCCGGAAGATAACTTGACCCCTTGGCAATACATGACTGTGTCATGGATGGAGCCTTTGATAAAAAAGGGTAAAACTCGAGAAATGGAAGACAGTGATATATGGGACCTCGGCTGGGAATTCAAACACGCGCGATTGCATGATGCATTTGGGGCGCTCGAAGGGTCAGTCACGAAGAAAGTCTTTGTCGCAAATGGCATGGACCTGCTGCGCACCACATTCTTAAACGTAGTGCGCTTATGTGCAAGTAAGTCTTACACCTCATCTTGTCTTTGTGCCCTCAATCTAACAACGGAAGCTCTGCTCACACCCGTCTTCCTTCAACGCCTCCTTGCCTCCATGGAACATCGTCACAATCGCGCGACGATTACGTATGCTTGTGTGATTTTAGTATTGCGCTTGACCTCTGCGCAACTTAATGTCTTCAATTTGTGGTACCAAAGGCGCGCTTATGAGAGATGCAGAGGCGAACTCATTACAATGCTTTATGAGAAGACCCTGAATCGCAAGATATTAGGCGCCAAACAAGACGGGAAAGACGAACAGACTAATGGCAACAGCATTGGCGAAGTACACGAAGAGATCAATGGTGAAACTCACACAACCCGTGAAGAGTCCAAAACTGCTTTCAAACATTGGAAGGAGACCCTACTTGCTTCCTTTCGATCGGCTTTCAGGAAAAAAACCAAAAATGCCCTAAAGGAGGATAACGACCCTGCATCGATGGGAAAGATACTGAACTTAATGCGAAGCGATGCTTACGAGATAGCGCAGCGTTTCTGGGAATTCTCAGACATCATCACTAAACCCACTGGCGCAATTTTTGCAATCATACTCATATGGCGCATGTTGGGCTGGGCATGTCTGCTGGGCATACTTGCCTTGGGTGTGTCCCAACTCTTGAACATTGTCATTGCTCGCCTACAAGTTCACTTTGAGAAGAAGCGTCGATCAGCCACAGACGAGAAGATTCAACGAACAAGCCAGTTTATCGAGTCGATTCGACACCTTCGTTGGTACGGATGGCAGGATGCATGGCTCGATGGCGTTCTAGAGTCACGTCAGAAGGAGCTGCATTTGCGTGTCGCAAACATCTTCTTTGTGACCTCACTTGCCTTCATCCTACGGTTTGGTTCCGGACTATTCCCTGCTGTGGCCTTTTATGCTTTCACCAAGTTGGCGGGACAAGATTTGCGTATCGACCTCATTTTCCCTGCCATTGAGCTGTTCAATCAGTTGGAAAGTTATCTCCGTGCCTTGCCCCAGTTGATAACAACCCTTCTCAATGCGTACGTTGCGATGGGTCGCATCGAAGAATTTATGGCAGAACCCAATAAGGAAGAGACTCATGTGACAGCTGAGGGCTCCACTGAGCTTAGTACGCATCAAGCATCATTTGCTTGGCCAGGCGTGGACCACAACGTGCTCTCCGAGATTACCCTGTCCTTTCCTCCTGGACTGACTGTCATCTATGGAGAAGTAGCCGCAGGGAAAACTGCGCTATTGCAAGCATTGCTTGGAGAGCTGGACACTACGGCCGGCGAACTCATACGCCCTGACCAGATGGTTGCGTACTGTGCTCAAACCCCGTGGCTTCAGAGCATGAGCATTCGTGATAACATTCTTTTTTCATATCCATTTGAAGAGATGCGCTACAAGCAAACATTGGAAGCTTGTGCCCTCTTACCTGATATGGCGGAGCTGAAGCACGGTGATCTATCGAACATTGGCGAGAATGGTATTGGCTTGTCTGGTGGACAAAAGGCTCGCGTAGCACTAGCCAGGGCAGTATACAGCAACGCAAAAGTATTGTTACTGGATGACCCTTTGTCGGCTCTTGACCATCAAACGGCTGAGTTCATTGTTGCCAAGTTGCTGGCCGGGCCATTGCTCAATGGAAGAACGACCATTCTGGTTACACATCGGACGGAGCTCTGCCATGGTATCGCGAAGCAATGGGTTCAACTGGAACACGGTCGCGCAACGATTCACGAACCTACCCAGGCTGAAGATAACGATGCGTTGAAGCGGACGCAGACCACTGAAACGGAATCCGAGGAGGACGCAAAGAAGCGTGAAGAAGAACAATCGGCAGCAGTTCCAGACAAGTTCATCGAAGACGAGCATCGTGCAAAAGGTGGTGTCAAGTGGAGCGTGTACTGGCGCTACGTCAAAGCAGGCACACTCCGATGGTGGTCTGTGGCAATTTTCGTTATGGCAGCTTTTCGCGTTCTCGACGTTGGTCAAACATGGTTTATGAAATCCTGGGGTGAAAGTTACGACGATGTGGAGCATCACGGAATCTTTGATTTTCTGCCACCCGCAACTGAAAATGTCGATCCTTGGCTCTGGACGTTCTTCATGTTCGTGTCTGGAACTGCTATACTCTTTTGGTGGACAAATCTCATCATGTTTGGAGTTGGATACCACGCTGCAAAAACCATCTTCAGGGAAACTTTGGAGCGTGTGGCTCATGCGACCTTCCGATTCTACGATGTTACTCCAGTGGGAAGATTGATGAACAGATTGACAAGTGATATGAATACTATCGACGGCGATCTGAGCAGTGCATTCATCACATTTGCATGGCAGATTATCGGCTGGATGAGTTGCATTGTCATTATTTTGTCCTCTACGCCAGCTTTCTTAGCTTTCGGGGTCCTACTCTGCTGTGGATTTGTGTATTATTTTTTCCGATTTTTGCCCACATCGCAGAGTTTGAGGCGGCTCGAGGTAAGTCTGGTTGTAAAGCAGCACTAGTCTGATTCGGCATGCTAATCTGAGGTAGATGGTATCGCTTTCTCCTTTGATGAGCAACTTTGGCGCCCTTGTCGAAGGGCTTACTACCGTGCGGGCTTTCAAGGCACAACATCGCTTCCAAGCTCGTGTCATTGAAGTCGTCGACAACTTTCAGAAGAATGACCATTTCTACTGGTCTCTACAAGCATGGCTAGCTCTACGCTTTAGTGTCATGTCGGCTAGCTTTACACTAATTATGACGCTCATTGCTGTGTATACTGGCATCAGTCCCGGACTTACTGCTTTTGTGCTGATCACGGCTGGCAAGTTTGTGCTTCATACGGAATGGATGTGCAGAATCTACGGAAACCTGGAAATGGACTTTACGAGTGTCGAACGTGTGGTGGAGCTTCTCGACATTGAGAGGGAAGCGCCTGGTGTTGTCGAGCCGCCTGCACACTGGCCGACATATAGCGGTGATATTGAGTTCGAGGACGTGACGATTCGTTATGCAGAGAACCTCGAACCAGCACTCCAGAACATCACACTCAAGATTCCCGCAGGATCCAACACGGCAGTTATTGGGCGCACAGGCTCTGGCAAATCGACTCTGGCTCTTAGTCTGTTGGCTACTATTGCGGCCGAGAATGGCAGAATCCTCATCGATGGCATTGACATCGCGACAGTTAAAAAGCAGGCACTCCGTAGTCGCGTCACATTTCTAGCGCAGGAGCCTGTGCTCTTTCCTGGAACTATGCGCAAGAACTTGGACCCCTTATCGGAATATTCTGATGCATCATGTGTCTCAGTACTGGAGAAGATTGGCGGAGAACAGTACTCGTGGACGCTGAGCACAAGCATAGAGGGAGGGGGCAAAGGACTATCGCAAGGACAACGGCAGCTCGTGGGGCTGGCCAGGGCGATGCTCAGGAGATCACCAATTCTGATCATGGATGAGGCGACAGCGAGCATCGACTTTGAGACTGCGCAGCGCATCCAGAGCGTGTTGAGAGAGGAGATGAGGAGCAGTACGGTGATTACGATTGCGCATCGTCTGGAAGCGGTCAAGGCGGCAGACTACTGTGTGGTGCTTGGAAATGGGCGACTGGTGAAGGCGGGCAGGGCCGAGGACATGCTGAGAGAGGG